TCCGGCTCTCTGCTCAGCAGGGAGCCTGCTCCCCGCCACCGCCCCCCAATCTGCCTACTTGTGATCTCTCTCTCTCTCTCTGTCAAATAAATAAATAAAATCTTAAAAAAAAAAAAAATGGGAGGGGCACCTGGTGGCTCAGTCAGTAAAGCATCTGTCTTCACCTCAGGTCATGATCCCAGGGTCCTCGGATTGAGTCCCACATGGGGCTCCCTGCTCAGCAGGGAGTCAACTTCTTCTCCCTTTCCTGCTGCCCCTCCCCCAGCTTGTGCACTCACCATGCGGTCTCTCTCTCAAATGAATAAATAAAAAATATTTTTAAAAATATATTTTTAAAAAATGGCGATATTCCCTAAATTAACATATAGATTGAATGTAGCCTCCATTGACATCCTTGGGAAAATGTGTCTTTAGAACTGAAGTCTAGTCATTCTAATGTACTTGAAAATATTGCAAAGTATAAACATTACAGCATTAGAAGTAAAAATAAAAAACAAGCCCCATGGACAAAACAGAGGCTTCAAAAATATAAACGGCTATAGGACTTGGAGGTGTAAGTTACAAACCAATAATAACTTAAAGGTGAAAGGAGTCACCTTTCATGAATTTTGCTAGGGCATTGAGGAAAATGGACTTGGGTTTTTTGTCCCAGTTATGGATAAGAGATTAATTTAAGACTATTTATGAAAACAGTATTTTCAGAGATCAGTTGTTTGTCACCACAATAGCTATTCTGAAATGTGTTAATATCAAAAGAAAAGCAGCAAAGAAAGAATACAGATAGTTGTTAAACTCATCCATGTTGAGTCATGAGCATTTGTTATACTAATTTTGCTTACTTGTATGTTTGAAACGTCCCGCAATTTTTTTAATGAAAGTAAAGAATGGGAAAAATATGTAGTATGTTTAACTGAAAAAAATTATCAAAAAATAAATGCATATATATATATATATATATATATATATATATATATATATTCCATAACCACATTCCATTTATTCGGTATTTAAAAGGAGATCAACAGGGAGACCAGTAAATGTTGATAGTAAATCTTTACACAGAAAAACCTGCAGCTTTGTTACTAGTTAGGAATAAAACTAACAGGAAAGCATTGCTCTGTGTTTATTAAGCTAGAAAAAGATTATAAAACCTTATATTAGCTAGATTACTCATTTCTGTACTCGGTAGTGACTGTATCTTCCTAGAGGGAAAACTAGCAATAGACCATATTTATAAAATTATTCACTCACTTTACCTAGTCTGTGGGATACACAAGTGTCTGAGACATTAGTGAATGCTACTATAGAATAGAATTTCTTCTCTAAAATGCTGTAAATTTAGGTGACCCTCTCAAATATAGGTGGCCTTTTCAGCCCTTTAATTGTTCTGTAAACTAGCAATGAACACATACTACAGGTCAGGCAGTTTCCATGCTTTCAGTCCTCCCAGCTTGAGGAGGGTAGCTTCTATTACTGCATCTTAGAGATGGGGGAACTCAGTCTTTGCAGAGTGAAGTGATTTTCCCCACATCACGCATTAATGAGCTCACTCAGGATTTGAGCCCAGGCAGTCTTACTTTAAACCCCCTGCTTTTTGAATCATTTCTCCAAACTCCTTCTCAAAATGAAAGCCATGTATCAAGTAGTTGACTTTCCTGTGCAGGGCCATTTAATTGCTTCAGGATCGCTACTACTAACATTACAGCTTCATTTTAGTATAGATTCTAGATGGTTTTGACCATAATGCTGATGGGAATAAGCAGTGAAACAGATCTTCTGATATATAACTGATGACATTGTAAATAGGTACAGCCTTTTTTGGAAAGCATTTTGGCAGCATATTTCAGGAGCCATAAAATGCTCATATTTTTTGACCTAGTTAATGCCACTTCTGGGAATCCTCTAAAGAAATAGTCTAATATGGAAAAAGCCATAAGCACTAAAGTGATCACCACAGCCATGTTTGTAATAGAGCAACTGGAGGCAACCCTAAATGTTCATCAGTAAAGGAATGATTAAACACACCATGGTATATTTACTTAGGCAGCCAATAAAAATGAAGTGTGATGCAACATAGACAAAGAAAACACAGTCATCTTGAGCTTTCAAAGCAGCATACAGCTGTATGTTCACTAAAATTACAGCTTTTACAAATAAGAAAAAAGACGGAGAGGAGCCTGGCTTGGTCAGGTAAGCTTCTGCTGTAGGCTCAGGTCATGATCTTGGGGTCCAGGAATCAAGCCCTGTATCCGGCTCCCTGTTCAGTGGGGAGACTGCTTTTCCTTCTGCCCCTTACCCCGCTCACGTTCTCTCTCACGCACACTGTCACTAAAATAAATAAATGAAATCTTTAAAAAAGAAGATGGCATAGAACAATGGTTGTGGGTGATTATTTTTCTTTCTGCTATTTTTCAGGCTTTTGGTAATACAGATTTATTCCTAGTTTTAAGATTTAAGTCACATGATTACTTAATGTTTTTGTGTATTCATCTCCTAATCTTCACTAGATTATGAGCTGCATGTTTAAAAAGAGCATCACTGGACACAGGCGAACTTCAAACACCTTGCACGTGCCTCATTTGCTGGTTGCGTGAACCTCGGCCAGTCAGTCAGTCTCAGCTGACTCATTTGACCCATGAAGTGAGCAGTGCAATTTGCAAGACATGAGTGGAATCTTTGGAGTGAGGAGACCTTGCTGTATGTCTTTGGCTCTTAGACAAGTGGCTCAAACTTTGTAAAGCTCAATTTCCTCATCCATAAAAATGGAGCTAGTGAGATCAAGGTCTGGCACTCCCTTAGTAGAGGCTCTGAAAATGTTCCTTCCATTCAGTCACAGCCCTTACAAAGTGTTCCTCACCTTTATTTATCCTTACATGACAAGAGCAAATACAAAGTCTTCAGCTAACTCCTTTTGAGCAGCAGCTTTTACATGTCCATCTTCTGGCATAACTTGTTATCTATAATTTAGAGTTAAGGATGAAGGGCAAAAAGCTTTGTCATTCAGCGTGGCCCAAAAAGTTTTCAGTTTTGTTTTAGTCTTTTTTTCTTCCAACTGTACAAGTGTAGGTAAATGGTCATTGTCAAACATTTGGAAAATACAGAAAGCTGGAAGAAGAAAATTATACCATAATCTTTCCACCTAGAAGTAACCATTATACATTTCATTTTATTTCTACTTAATTTTTTCTGAATATCGGATTTTTTTAAAAGAGAAATAAAGGAAAGCTCTTATTAGAACATTTGTTATGTTTGGGGCAAGTTTAATATGATGTTTGTGTTTGTTTTGAGATAGTTTACTTTCAGTAAGTTACTCTTATATAGGGATAAAGACCAAGCTAGCAATAAGGAAACAGATGGAAGATGTGGGTAGGGATAGTTCTGTCTTTTTTTTTTTTTTTTTTTTTTAATTTATTTGACAGACAGAGATCACAAGTAGGCAGAGAGGCAGGCAGAGAGAGAGAGGAAGGAAAGCAGGCTCCCTGCTGAGCAGAGAATCCGATGCGGTGCTCAATCCCAGGACCCGGATCATGACCTGAGCCTAAAGCAGAGGTTTTAACCCACTGAGCCACCCAGGTGCCCGGGATAGTTCTGTCTTAATTAGTAGGACAGTTTTTTTTTTTCTGTATTTCTGATACCTGTCAAAGAATGAACTTAGGTAAAGTCTAACTACCCAAACCATGCTTCCTGGACTTTTTTTTTTTAGGACAGTTACAATTTTAAATAGCTTGTGATGTTTTCTTCACAAGTTATCCTGTACCTTTTCAGACCATGAGCTGTGAATTTTGGTTTGGAAAATATAGTCATCATACATAAACTTGGAATAAAGAAAAAGCTTACAGAATAACCACAATTTCTTGGCTCTTGTCCTTATCATTTTTAGAACATGCAATTTTAAAAAATTATCAGTCCTTGTAATATCCTCTGGAAAAAAAGGAGGAAATGTATCCAGTGACAGAACCAACAGAGCAGCAAATACCTAGAAAGACAGCCTGAGCTACTGTGGCCATGTGGGGCCAGGCATTGATGTCACATTACCCTGACTTGTGTTGGACTTGTACTTAAATCAGAAAGGGAGAATGTACTTGTTGAGGGATTGAGAGCTTTGATCCCTCCGTTTTCTGGACTTTGCTGTGCAAGGGAGGCTTCTATAGGATGACTTTAAGAGTAGGGGAAAAGGTCTTTTCCCCCTTTCATTTCTTTTCTTCAGAGCAGCAATAGAATTATGAAAGGTGACAGGGTACATCCCATATAAATAATTTTCAGTGGGGCATATCTGTCATTCCCACTACATTGAGGAGGACTTGAGAAATGTTCGAGGTCAGTTTATTGTCTTGCCTCATCACTCTCCTTTGAATATGCCACTGTGGCTTGTGCCCCTTTGACTTCTGAGGTCTGCTGCCCCAGGCAAGAGACTCTTGATTGGTTGGGAGTAGGTGTCCCTCATTCCTATTTAAGTATCTGCACATCAGGGAAGTCACTTGTCCTTTTGAGTCATTTCTTCTGACAAAGATGGGCCATAACTCCTTACTGATACTTGGCTTATTAACCCTTTCCAGTCACGTCCTCTTTGAGGAAAATCACTTGACCTCTTCACAGGAGAAAAACTAACCTATAGCACTGTTTGAGGATCCAGCTTGGAACTTAATGGACCTCTATAGCTTAAGGCAGTACTTAGGTACATTGGGACAGTGGGGATTTGGAAGTGTCCCGTGAGGGGTTGGGGCAGGGGCAGATAACTAAACCCTGTAAACTTTCTACTTAGAATAATTTTGGTCCCTCCAAAAGTGTGCTTGCCTGAGATAGAACTTGGTGCCCTGTGAAAAATTATGACATGAGCCTTTTGAACTGCTGAGGGAAGTAGTAGCCAGAAGCTGCAAAGAAAGTTAGCTGAATTTACACACTGTTCTTATAAGAGACGTGATCAGTTTTACTTAATTCACTGGACTCTTTAGACTTTTTCTATAATTGGTTATTGTTAAAAATGATTTAATTTTTTTCAGTATTGCCTGTCGGGGCACCCGACCTTACCGTGCAATGTGCTCAAATTCAAATCAACTACCATTATGTTGGACTGTGGACTGGACATGACTTCCACTCTCAATTTCCTTCCTTTGCCGCTTGTTCAGAGGTATGTGCTGCTGCATCTGGGACAAAATGAGCTTTAGTTTGTTGAAAAATGGTGCTGCTTAGCATAAAGATTACCAGTACCTTGTGTGTTGTCCTTAGTTTACTTTGTTCACTTAAAAATGTTCTTCATCAGAATTATTTCTTTGGCTGGGTTGATGGAAAGTGTTGTATTGATTTATTGATTGACTTCTTTATTATAACTTCTTCTGAGCATCTGTAAAATGTTCCTGCAACTGCTCTGTGCAAGTGAGGTCATGTATATTTCATCTTTCTTGCTAATTCATGTAGGAGCTGATAAATGGTCAACTGATGAGCCCAAGAATTGAATTTTAGAATCATTTAACTGCCTTTGCAGGGACTTGACATCATAGAGCCTGACATTTCTTTTTGATAAGTATCTATGTGTTATTTTCATAATAGCTATAGATATCATGGAATCACATATGAAGCCAAAGTCCTTGTCTTAAAACAGATTACCCAAAACCTATAGTCACCACTGTTTACTCTTACTATGACTTTGTCTAAAAAATTGTTTTCCCAGCTTGCTGCTAATTGAAAACAGCAATTTGTAAGAGAGGTGGGTAACTTACAGAAGCAAATATATTCCCAGTAACAAAAAGTATTTTCACATAGGAGAGACAGAAAAGCTATCTAAAGCAGATTTAAGAGCTTAAAAGCATAGCAACCTGGGCAAAAACCATCTAATATATCTCATTCATTTCTGAAGACATCACTGTGTGCAATGATTATTCATAATGATAATCTTCTAGAGAAAGTATAATTAAAACTCAGCCTTTGATTTTTTTTCTGTGATAAGGGACACAATAAGGTGAAGGGGACAGAAAGAATTCAGAGATAATTTCAGATTACATTTTATGCAAAGCTGATAAAATTCAGTTACCACATAACACTTAGAAATACATTTATTATCCACAGATATTATCTGTCTATATATATAATTACAGTTGCTTCAGAAACTGTAGGTATCATATTTCTGTAAAAAATGACTGACAGGTTATTTCTTACTGAAATAGTCTGATATTATTGTCTGGTTCCCCCCAGAGATTACAGTTTTGTTTTTTTTTTTTTTAAAGATTTTATTTATTTATTTCACAGAGAGAGATCACAAGTAGGCAGAGAGGCAGGCAGAGAGAGAGATAGAGGAGGAAGCAGGCTCTCCGCTCAGCGGAGA